ACTCAACTTCCAGGATTGTTTTCCTAACCACCAACGATGGCATCTCTTAATAATGACCGGCAAATAAACCTTGCTCTTCAGGCTATCAAACAAGGCCAAAATCTCAGTGCCCGAGCCGCTGCTAAGATATACGAAGTTAGTCACGCAACTCTGTCCCGCCGACTGAAGGGTATCCAATCTCGACGCGACAATATACCTAAATCACGGAATTTGACGCAGCTAGAAGAAAGAATGATTATTCAATATGTTCTCGACCTGGATGCTCGATCTTACCCTCCCCGGCTCGCTGGTGTGGAAGAAATGGCTAATCGACTGCTATTAGAGCGCAACGCGCCACGCGTAGGGAAGCGCTGGGCAACAAACTTCGTCAAACGACAACCAGAGCTCCGGACACGTTTTCTTCGTCGGTATGACTATAGCAGAGCTCAATGCGAAGATCCCGACGCGATTCGCGCGTGGTTCGCGTTGGTGAAGAACACTATTGCAAAATATGGTGTAGTGGATGCGGATATCTATAACTTTGACGAGACTGGGTTTATGATGGGCATTATCTCAACAGGCATAGTCGTGACCAGTACTGAAAGACGTTCAGGTGTTAAGATGGTTCAACCAGGTAATCGGGAATGGGTCACAGTTATTCAGGGTGTCAACGCGTTGGGCTGGACAGTCCCGCCGTTCATTATTGTTTCAGGTAAATATCACCTATCGACTTGGTACCAAAACAGCACTCTCCCACCAGACTGGGTGATTGCCACATCTCCTAATGGCTGGACCACAAACGAGAGAGGTGTAGAATGGATTCAGCACTTTAATAAGTACACAAAACCGCGAAGTACAGGTAAATATCGCCTATTGGTCCTCGACGGGCATGAAAGCCACCACTCAACCGATTTTGAGCTCTACTGCAAAGACCATGATATTATTACTCTTTGTATGCCTCCTCACTCATCGCATATCCTTCAGCCTCTCGATATTGGGTGTTTTGGCCCGCTGAAACGCGCGTACGGTGGTGAAGTCGAGAAGAGAGTCCGAGCTGGTACGACCCACATTTCGAAGGAGGACTTCTTTCCCGCGTTTTTCGCCGCCTTTCAGCAGACAATGACGGTTCAAAATATTCAGGCAGGATTTAGAGGGGCCGGACTTATTCCCTACGACCCGGAAACTGTCATTGCATGTTTAGATCTGAAGTTACGAACACCAACGCCTGAGAGACAAGGGCTCGCCTTAACCCAAGCTTGGGTCTCTAAGACACCCAATAACCCAACCGAGGCCGGCTCACAGTCTGAATTCATTAAGAATCGAGTCTTTCTCCATCAAGGAAGCTCTCCGACACCGATTCTGGAGGCCATTGATCAGTTTACCAAGGGCACGACGGGAATTATGCATCAGATCGCGCTTTTAAAGTCAGAGGTTAATACCCTTCGAGAGGAGAATGCACTACTTAGTCGCCGTCGCCGCGCTAAAAAGACACATCTCCGTGAAGGAGGAAGTATGACACTAGCTGAGGGACAAGATCTACAAGCTCAAAATGAGGTGGAAGTGCAGATAAAGCAGGAAACGCAGCAAAGCAGTGGTCGAAAAAAGAGGACAGAAACGCGGCCGCGAGTGTGTGGTGTCTGCGGAGAGGCGGGACACAATGCAAGAACCTGTCAAGTAGTTATCTCATCATCTGAGGAAGAGGATTCCGAGTAGTTTTAATTAATTTAATGTATTGTGGTTGAGTGCAGTTAAGAAATGTGCAGGTAGTCGAGTTGAGGTGTCTCACTCGCTTGTCTGTCTCACTCGCTTATCAACCACGTTAGTTAATTAAAAATCTTTAAGATTAGTGATAATAAATATCGATTTTTATAAGTTATTTAATTAAGTATATAATAATTAATATAAAGATATAAGTTACTATTCTTTTTCTATATAAATAAAATCGATATATTTATAAGTAACTTATTAAGTTATATTTATCTTTTTTATAAACTATTCTTAATATAATTATAAAAAATATCTAGTTCTTTCTTACTAAGTAAATAAAGAGACTTATAAAATATAGTTTCGCTCTTTATAATAAAGATCTAGTATCTTATAATAATTTTTATCTTTAAAGACACTATATTAAGTTTATAAAAGATATCTTTATAGTTTTAATATTCTATAAATAACTTAATATCTTCTTCTATAAAATCTATAAATACTATACTAGCCTCTTTATTTTTATTAAATATAAAAATAATAATAACTTTATAAATCTAGTAATCTAGTGCTTATAATATAGCACTAAGCGAGATAATCTCTACTTATATATTAATCTTAAAAAATATCTCTTAAATATTATTCTTTTAATCTATATTAAGATTAACTTCTCGAAATTAAAAATATTTTAAAATAATATTATATTTATATATATTAATTATAGTAAATATCTATATAAGTATTATATATATATTTTATATATTAATTATATAGACTTTAAAAATATATTTTTTATAAGTTTATATAAATTACTTATTTATTATATTTACTTTAAACTCTTTATTTATTAACTTTAGCTCTATCTTTATAATATATAGCTATAAGATAAAGTTCACTTATATTTCGCTATTATATAGCACTTAAGTTATATACTATCTATTTATAGTTTAAATCTTTAAACTTAATATTAGGGCTTAATAAAATTATACTATTAAGAATTTAAGTTCTAGTGTTATTATAATACTTAATATACTAGACTCTAGTTTTTTAATTCTTAGTGATCTCTTTATAATATCTATATAAATTATTTATTCTTTAAGTAATTAGCTTTATAATAATTCTTTTTATTATAGTTATAATAACTTTCATTAAATAAAACTAAAAATATTATTCTCTTTATTTATTTTTTAATGATTCTTATAAAGATCTTTTATCTTATTTTATTATATCTAGATATACTATTTTTATATATATATTATATAAAAATAATACTTTTTATATTCTTCTTAGTATTAAACTTCTAATCTTAAAAGAGAATTTAATATAATTATTCTATCTTTTTATAATATTTTAGAATCTTTTTATAATAAATAATAAACTTTATTACTTATTCTTTTAAGAGAATCTCTTAATATTTATATATAATCTTTATATAAATTATAAACTTTAAGTTATTAAGAATAATTTATATATATTTTTTATTCTTTATTATTAAGAAAATATTTATCTTAATAGTCTTAATATAATTAATATATTTTTATACTTTCTAATTCTTTTGTTATTTAGCTATATATAAATAGCTAATTACTTAACTCTTATAAACTATAAATATAATAATTATATCTTTTAAATAGATAATATAGTTCTTTTATTTTATAAAGTTCTTATTATTATATTCTTATATTTTTTTTATTTACTCTTCTAAATATATTACTATAATAATAATATATATTATATACTAGTTTTTTATAACTTATAGTATTATTTAAAAAACATAATTTCAGCCTATTTTATACTTTTAAAGAACTTTAATTAATCTTTTATTAAACTTTAAAAATTAAATAAGTTTAATATATTTTAATAAGTAAAATTTATTATTTATTATTAATATACTAATAAAATATTTATATCTTAATAATATAGTGCTAGTAATCTCTATATATTAAGTGAGTTCTATTCTATTAAGCTTATTTTCTATAGCTTAAGCTTTATATTCTAGATATTTCCTAGTTAGAAATCACTAAAGTTCTAAGTGTCTTATATAAATTATAATCTTCTTATTTATAAGTTAAGAAGCGCTAGATAAATTAATTTAATTAAGTTCGCTTAGATTAAGGTTCTTATTAAGGATACTCTCTCTAAGAGTCTTTTATACTTTTAAGTCTTCTAATAACTTAGCCTAAGAATCTCTTATAGAGACTAATTCTGCGCTTCGTGTATTAGGTATTATTATATTATATGCTTTAATCAGTTTAAAGTGATACTTAGAGAATATTAGGAATATCTTGAGGAATAGACAGAGTGATAACACAATAGAGGGTTGAGATATTTCTATCTAGAGATACGCTCTAGTATAAGACTCTAAGCATAAGGAAGAGAAATTTCTTATATAGGTAGCTTGTGTGAAAAGTGCGAAGCTCAAGAGTTCGCTAGACTATATTTATATGCGCTGTCTTGGCGCGCGCTTAGGGGTGCGCGCCATGCTCTCTGCGCGCTTATTGGAACGCTTGTCCTGAGTTACGCTCATGATAAAACCCATAAAACTCCTTAGAAACCTTGATTTATAATAGATCTAAGTCTATTATTAATCCTCTTTCTGACTCATAGACTAGCCTTATATTTTTTATATTCTTCACACTCGCTGTCTATATTAATTATATTTCTACTATCACAGCCTGCCTCTGATCTGGTCAAAATGAGAAGTATCAACTGAGACTTAAATCCAAGATCATCTTGACTGAGCCTAAAATTTCACTTAATCGACAGAAAGACGACGAGAGTCTAAAAAGCAAGATAAATTGCGCTACCTGTCCGCTCTCTGGCGCGTAGATATATCTATTGCTCGGGACTCAGCCAACTATCGCGATTTGCCCTGGCCACCTAAAGTTAGTCTTCTTGGTCCGGCTGTAAGGGCGTAATCAGGCACCCTTACACTGTCTCTTCCGATGTCTCAAAGTCACTCATGTTCTTCGTATTACGGATCGAAGGCGCACATTGATTGGTTACAATGGACTCCAAATACTGATGGGCACATAGCCTCTTGATTAAAATTACACCGATACGTGATGGTATCCTTCGTGCAGCATAAGCAGCATGTGTTATTGGGGCCGCTGATCTGCTGATTCGCCAGTCACGACATATTCAGGGGTCGACCATCCCGAGAAGTGAATCATAAAGGCGCCCGACTAGGTTTGCGTAGCAGCTGCGCCCCTACTAACCTGTAGGGTATAAGAAGGCGCTCTGTCCCTGCTCTTACCTTCATCCCTCTCTATATGTCTAACTCCCTATTCACACCGTCATTTCCTGACAAGCGCAAAATGCGGCCTATTCCCAACATCGATCATTTTCTCAACGACGCTAATCGCGAAATCCAGGTCCGACACGATTCGGTTATAGATGGTGCTTTCAACATAAAGAGAAAGTTCTCCTCACTGTTAACGCAGGCGCGGCAATTGAAGACGATATTGCTGGCCAAACAGGCTGAGCTGGATCGCTACATCGCTCAGTATAGACCTCACCAGTTATACCCTCAAAGCATCGCCGAAGATACTCGGAAAAAGCTCCAAAAGCAAACCTATAAATTGCGTCAGTGTAGGAACGAGAACAGGCTACTACGTACCCGAAATCAAGAACTGGGCAATGATTTGGAAGCTGCGCACAAAGAGTTGGAAAAGGTCGATCACCTGCGGTGCAACATTTGTATGGTGGCGTTCAAGAATGTCGTGGTTCCGTGCGGTCACAGTGCTTACAGAGAATGCTTGATATTTACCTTGGAACCAGTAACGAAATCCGGAACACCAATGATGAGGAGACTGATGTCATCTCGCTGAGCAGCGACAAGTGAGTAGAACCTTCGTGGAATCGCTCCATAAGAGCCCCAGCTAAACGAGGGTGGCGATATACATCACGTGTCGCACGTGACCACGACAGACAAATCCGATGGTAGTATAATGCGAGGCCTCGAACCGAGGTCAAGCTCTGATCATTAGTTAATCCCCCATCTCTTTGATGGTCATACGGAGTATTTCCCCAGCGTTACCTCCTCCCGCCAACGAGCATATGGGTGCAGTACTTCGTGCCCACTCTAGTTAATGCATTCCGCTGAGCTAGCTACAAGACGGCCCTGCTCAAGTTTTACGTACTTGATGTGGATTTTCAAGTGTTACACGAGTTGCATTATGTCCTGGGTCAGCGAATATGTTCGTGATGTGACCTAACCAGCTTCATGAAATCCGGATGAACCCACACATTTAAGATGATCTCTTGTCGCCCTTGCGACGGAGCTATGGTAGGCTGTCTATCAAGTAAATCGTTGTAGCCCCCAAAACACCCCCCACCCGTTCGTTTTCGTCCAACGCTTTCGCACAGATACCACGTCGAAGTAACCTGCCATTCGCTGGGATCTTGGATGGCATGTTATTGAGTCGCTTCAGCTTATGAACTGCAGGTCTGAGGGCTTTCAGGGATGGGACTCGGGGCTTTCGAGCAGACCTGCGTCGTTCTGAACGCCGCACGGGGCCTGGGGCGTTTTCTGGGTCTGGGATTGGCCCAATTTGATGCCGAGGCGTACTCATTCCTTCGCCATTAAAACATTTCACGAGCATCTGAGCCACTGAGGCCTGCATGCTAGGGTATTCCTGTGCCATGGGGCTGAGAAATTCAATTCTAACGGCTGCAACTCGAACGCACCTCAAAGCGTCTTCGTATCTGGCCAGCCTTGTATGAAGCCCTCCTGCCCGCACCACAACACCGATTACGACAAAACGGGACCAGATGTCGATTTTGGGCGACTGCTCATGTGCGCCGTACATTATCTCCGGTGCCATGTAAAGAGGGGAGCCGCAGTGCGTCTTTGCAAACTTTGCAAGGCCGAAATCAGCTAACTGGAAAAGGTATGTGTCGTCGCCCAACGGCGTGTAGAGAATGTTTTCCAGCTTCACATCTCGATATATCCAACCTCGAAAGGCTAGATAATCTAGAGCCTCGAGCATGTCCTGCAACAGACGCAAAAGGACCTTGTCAGTAGTCCGCACGCTTGGAGACCTTTCGAGCAACTCGGACAAATTGCCCGGTTTTAGGCTCATGTAAATATCCACAGTACCAGTATCCCAGCCCGACGAGCCTAGGTACTCGACAATATTTTTCTGTGCTGATTATGAGCATACAATACTATCGCTGACATATGAAGGGTACATACGTGAGAGATATTGGAGAGAACTTTAACTTCACGTCGTAATAGGAGCTCTTCCTTCGACACGGCAAAATCAATCCTCGGGGGCAGGCGGATTTTTTTAACGGCGATGAAACATCCTGAATCGCGGTCCACGGCTTTTCGCACCTCACCAAAGGCTCCGGTTCCAAGCGGTCCAACATCGATCGTCCGCTGGACGGCTTCTATGGCAGGTGTATGAAGGCGGGTGTTGTATGAAGTGGGAAGATCTGTAGGTGCGGCGTCTACCGTTCGAGCCCAACGAGGATTCTGTCCCCGCGCTTGAACCGTCTGAGATTCTTTCTCCACCTCGTGCAACAGATCGTCCGGCTCCCTGAGCCCTATCAAGTGGAAGACAAATTGGTCTATTTTCTCGCGCTGATTTCGTACTCCGTTTTTGGCTGCAAGACAACCTGGCGAAAATACCCATCGACCCTAAAACCATCTGGCTTTATTTTAGTGCTGTGAAGTCGAGACCGATCCAAGAAGATGATTTGACGGGATTCTGGATGGACCTCAAAAGAAAAGTGGACCTGAGATATGCTCGATCCCGGCATAACAAGGTCAGCATTCTTTCCCACTTCCACTATAATCAGAGCACGAGGCCTCGCCGAGACATGATAGCCGATCTCCAGACCGTATTTGTCCTCCTTGCCCAACTTGGTTCCTTTCTCGCAAAGAGATACAAAATGCTGATTGTCCGGGTGGAGGAGCATCTGAACTGCTCGGGGAGAGTCCTTGTGCGGAACGAGATGAAAGATCGTCTGTGGGTGAGGTACTCGGCGAAACATGATGTCGCACATTCAGCGCGATGCGTGAGAAAGCGAGGCTTTGGAGAGGGCATTTTAATTAGCAGAATTTTGTAATAGGACAGACTACTTATTAAGAAGCAGAGGAAGGGTGATTGGAATTTGGCCCTCATTTTAGAAACGTTGGCTTCTTTGTCAAGCCGTCGAGAAACGATAGCCTCCAATAAAATCGATTGGACAACATCGATTATCGACACAAATATCCTATTGCTTCTGATTGGACGAACAAGCACACTGTCACACTTCATTTTTAGTCGAGCACTTGTTAGCGCCCTATCGAATCGCGACACGATCACATGACATAATCAAGTAGGAACCAAAAACGGTCCCTGTGGCAGAGTCACCCTTGATCCTCTTCAACTACTCTGCTGCTCCAAACTTGGGTCGTTGAAATGCTTCATAGTATTCACGACATCAATGTGCCTCGTCTAAACTCGATCATACCAACTCTGCAGTTGATGGAGGACGACCCAGCGTTTCTTGAATATCGAGAGCGTCGTTTCGAACGGGATGAGCCTCCCCCACCTTATTCATCCTGCAGCTCTACACGAGAACCAACGCCTAGTCCATTCCCCCCCAGGATGACATCAATCTCGAGGACCTTTTTCGCCGACCACTAAGTGACCATGAGGTCGATGTGATCCAAGACCGATTCAGAGGATACGACCCACGCCGCCGATATAATGACGAAGAGTGCCAGGAAAAGAAGCGAATCGATGAAGCATGGGGCAGGCGGGGTGAAAGTTATGCTCCGCTCTATCGTGGACCCGACCTGGTCGGACGTTTGGGACAATGTAGGAATATATCATGATCAGACACAGCATCAAGAAGCGATGGCAAAAGCTAGGGGTCTGGAATTCGAAATGGGGAGTTCCCACCGGCGAGTTAGGTGGGTTTGGGAACAATGACGGCCCAAAATCCTGGGAGTGGGAATCGCTCTCTCAAGCCAGAGAATCGGCTGAAAGTCGGGCGATTCGACTGCATCTTCAAAGACAAGGTCGTGAGAATGAAAATCTGACACCACAACTACAGGAAGTTGGTGATACACCTGACATACAGGTGGACGATCGTGAGTCTCTGATTACGAGTCGGCCTTGGTTCTTGTGGGCACTGGAGGTTGCAGAGGAAGCAGTGAGGCTGCAGCGCAACCCAAAGCAGTCGAAGATCGAAGCTTATGAGCCCGCACGTGCGAATGTGACAGCTCGATGGAAGGAGAAGGGATACTGGAAAGACAGCTGGAGTAATAATATGCCTCGAGATTGGCTGGATGGATGGAGCGACTTGCCTGGTTGGAAGTGGAAAGATGAGTCACCATCGCCAGAACCCTCCAGATCCGGACGAGATGGAGTTTACTCCGTCTGAGATTGATGCATCGGAAGCGATACGGCCATCTACGCCGCAACCGCAACCCAAGTCGGCACACCCTGAACGTCGGCCCCCATCACCTACTGCTCATCCTGTCAGGTCTCTTTTCTGGAATAGCTTGAACGCAGCATCGCCCTGTTCAACAGAGCCAACTGCAAATTCCCTCACAGACAATGAAATATACGCAGAGTCGGCACAGCCATTGTTACAGGACTACGCTGAGACTCCGTCTCGCACAGAACAAAGGCCGCAGTCGTCCCCTGCGACATTACGCAAACAGCAGCGTCGGCATACGACGCATCGTCATCTCACAGGTTCGAACACTCGTGTGACTCGCTCAACGAGACTGGTCGAAGTCCCCAAGAAACCTACACGAAAGCAACGAACATCTCAAGCTCCCACCTCTGAAACCTCCAAACTAGCTCCATTACCCCGCCGGAGTCCTAGAATCGCGAAACGAGACCGTCACCAAAAAGATGCGGCAGCTCAATCGGATGCTGTGAAAGCTTCAGCCATAGCCAAAGTAATACAACAGTCACAGCTGGATGAAGACATAGAAGAGACCTTAAGTTGCGCAAAAAGGACAAAGAATGGCCAACTCAAGCAAAGACATCCGCGAAAATCTTCGACACCGCTAGGCGCCACCAAGCGAATGGCTCGTTCAAGGAATGTGAATGCTTGAGAACCGAATAGTGCACTACAAGGTCCTTTAAGCGGTTATGGCGTCTTCAGAAGCTTCATATTAAGCTTTGTTCCTTGCATTACCATGAGAAAGAGGCTCATAGTCTATCTAATGTCAAAGGAGTGCTTGCGTGGCGATCTCTTCAACAGGTGCCTGCGTTGGTGCTGGTATTTCTACATATCTTCCTGGCTGGTTCGTCATGTGATCCGTCGATGACGTTGCTTGTCCTAGAGTTTGCGCAGCTTTAGTTGCCCTACATTCCATAAGGGTCTGAGTTCTTGTTTGTGTCGAGACAGTGGGAGTCGGGACCGGGTTTATTGATAAGGCAGTCTCTTGGAGGTTGGGGACATTGTTCGTGCTTTCTCGTCTTGGACGTGTGGTGTGATCTCTGGCGGGAACGTGCCATTCGATGCTCCTGTTCTGCTTCGCTTGTTCCACTCTCTCCAATTCCTTCTTCCTTGCTGGGCAGGCATTACTCCATGCTGTGTGGGCACCTTTGCACACAGGACAGCGGGGAGTGAACCCTTCCACTTCCTTTTGCCGACAGTGTTTGGCTTCGTGCAGCTCCGCACAATAGCCACGTGTTTGGGATGCGTTACATTGAGCGCCGATGTGCCCATAATGACTGCAGCGGAAGCATTGTCTCACCCTGCAGGTGCGGTCGTAGAGTTGACATTGGTGGATCTGGCCTTCCCAGACCATACCGGCATAAATGACGGCGTTGGCCATTTCTGGGGCGGCAAATTCGACCACGATGGAAGACGCCCGCTTGAGAGGGCCTTCTCTGGTCAGCCAACCGACATATGAGATCTTGGCATCAGGGATGACGGTATAGTTATCTGCCAGCATCTGTTGGATAGTTGCGTTTTGATCTTTGATATTCATGGATTTGGTAGAGATGCCATGGACAATCACTCCATAGGTTGGCACGAAGACTTCCGCTTGATCTGCCAGGCCTTTCAGCCATCCTGTGTTCTGTTTGAGTTGCTGAGCTTCTCCGCTCGTGCTTGTGAATATCTGCAGGTCACCACTTTTGAGCTGATGTGCCGCCACGAGCTTGATCGCTTTGGTAAGAGTGTTGTCTCGTATGGAGGTTTGTACTTTCTGTTTGGTCCAGGTGACTGGGTAGTTGCGGAACCGTTGCACGATGCGATAATTCTGGAGCTTTACTGTGACCACTCGGTCTCTGTATGCGGTCACTGTGGTTGGAGCCTTTGTGGTATACGATCCTGGTCGTACTGATGCTGGTGGTGGTGGTGGTGGTGGTAGCGTGGAGCTTTTGCCTTGTGTTGCGACTTGGGCCCACGATGTCCGTGCGTCCTGACTCCGCTGAAATATGATGCGTTGAGTGGTGTCGTGCTTAATCCTATGGAGCTCTTGGCGGCCGTGACGTCTCGCCGAATGGTTTGGATGTCGTTTGCCGCGTCTTGGATGTGATGAAACACCTCGCCAACGGACGGTCGCTGCAGCACTTTACCAATGAGCGCAAGGGTAGATTCAAGGTAGGCTTGGACTATATGCCATGGAATCTGATTGGTTCTGCCTCGATCCGCTGCCTGCAATTGGTTGCATACTTCTCTGAGGTACGTGGCATGCTCGTTGATGTGTTCGGGGCCATTGTTTACCTGCGGCCATCTAGGCGCCATTACCACGAAAACACGCGTTTTTGACGCGTCAATCGTGATAATGGCCCAAGATAACCTGAGTTTACTAGGAAAACTACAAAAAGTTACGCGTTTCAAAAATTCAAACTGAGCTGGGTGTGGTGTTATTTCGACTTACGCTTGACATTCTGGATAAATATCTATCGGCGAGTGAGTGTCACCAACGACTCGATCGCAAGGTAAAAACGCGAGTCCGGCCCAAAGGGATGTGTCATCAAAGAAAATCCAATCTATGAAGAGCAAGAAACCCCAACGATCGCAATCACAATTACAGTCTCAACTGACTCCTGAAGATCAATTAGTGTTAGGGAGGAGTTCGTAGCAGTTCCCGAACCAGGACGTCAATGGAACTGGAACTGGAATTGGAGATTCCTTCACGGTGCACAAAGGAGGGGGCGAGAAGGTCTGTATGGAAACGAATTACTGCCATGTTCAATCGGAATACAACTCTATCATATGATACATCCTGTCTAGCCCAGAGTGAGACACAAGACTGCTTGTTTCTCCATCTCTGGACTGGGAGAGTCGTATTATGCATAATCATGCAACCAGTCCGCCAAAACAAACCAATCAGGCACTTCCTGTAATTTTTCGGGCCAGGCATCGGTATTACCATACTCGACATCGAAAACAGACCAATCTAGATCCTCGGTGGACGAGAAGTCGACTTGCGGCAAAGGAGGCCATGATCCCTGCTGAACCCCTGAACCCATCGCGCCAGGTTGCTGCGTCGCGCCGCGCTCGTCAGTACCACCGTGATTCACCATCTCATTCGTACGCAGTTGAGATGATGTTTCTGTCAGTCGTACCAGAGCCTCGAACTTCTGCAAGGCATTGCTGGCCACCAACCAAGTCGTGCTCAAGCTTTTCAACAGCCGCTTCACCGTGTCGGTGTAATACGTAAACGTGATTGGAGCCGTGACGCTTCTGACCTGCTGACTGACCCAGAAACAGTAACAGATGGTGATGCCCGAGATGAAGACCGTGTGCGCGTTCAACCACGAATTCGCAAAGTTCCCAAACCGATGCAACTCGGCCTGGGCCTGGATGGTCTCAACCGCACTTTCGAAACAATACTTCAAAGCCAATGCGGACGGACGAGGTATGGCCGGGCTGGGCCGGTACATCAGCATAATCGCCTGGTGGTACTTGAGGTCCAACGACAGGACTGCGTTGTCATGCACACCGCGTGGGAGTCCAGAAGAAGAATCGAGGCGGTCAAGGTCCAGATGAGCGTCCTCCAATAGTTGGGACAATGCGGTACGCGTCCTCGTTTGCCATTCTCCAAAGTCGGTCGGCCAGGGAAATCGAGAAGGCGACTGGGCCACTCTGTACAGCATGAGTTTGATCTCGCCGAAGATGCGATCGAAGCGAAACGAGTAGGTCGCGGGTGTAACAGGAGTCGACATCAGCCGTTGTCTCTTCCGCGAAGGTTCGTCATAGTTCGATGTCGGAGCATAAGCTCTGCTGGCGTCATGATCAACTTCATCGGACCCCAGTCCGTCGGGAAATTCAATGTCAAGCGCCTCGTCACGAAACGTGAGAGGCCTCCCTAGCACCACACTCAGCGTTCGGTCGAGGGAGTATGCAGACCAGAATATGCCGCTGCGGATTCGATGCTCCTCAACTTCCGAAGATGTTGGTTCGGCTATGTAAAACGTTATGGCTCCGATGATAAGCAGAGTATGGGAGTGCTGTTACTCACGAGTGCTAATGTGCTTCTTACGCTGGAGACCCAGGTCAATACAACCCGCCAGGATGTTCGACTTGAGGAACCAGGCATTCAAACCGCGTGGGGAATGGAGGCTGCTTAATGTGAGTAGAAGAAGTGTCTGTAGCCCCCGAAGACTTTCGTGAAGGCTGACAAACGAGACATGGATCATGGCTGTGGCGAGGAAGCTCTCAGCATTGAAATTTTGTGACAGTCGTGTCTCAAGTACATTCGCTCCCAGGAAAAGGACCAGGAAGAGCTGCGCATGATCAATATGATCGATAGGCCTTTCATCCGGTCTTGACGAATCTGTAGATGACTGCAGTGGCTGGGCTTGAGAATGGCGTATCCTTTCAGCTGTTCTCGAAAAGCTCGCTACGCTCAAAAACGGATAGAGGAAATGTATCGTATCAAAATAAGCGTTAATAAAACGATGCATGTCTCTTACGTTGGGCAGTGAAGCTCCAGCGCTTCGCTCGAGAGAAGGGTCTTGGTTGCCACCTTGCCTTTGGTCGGACAGATTGACAGGGATACCTTGATATCCTGACGCTGCAGCATAAATCAACCTCGCGAAGGTGACCCCCGACGATGGTCCAATGTACTTGGGCTCTACAGAGTTCGATAGCGACAGCATCCCGACCTCATGTGCAATGGGCTGCTGCACGCCTATCGCAGTATTTTCGGTGCCACATGGAGAGGGCCCATTGCTGACATTTGCTGCAAAGGGTGCCACCGGGGGGGATACAGCGTGGTTGACGGGATGCTGTCCGCCATAGTGGACAACCGTCCCTGTATTTGAGTGCGAGGTTAAGGTGCTGTCTAGAGGTATAGCATTGGAATTTCCCAGTGTCTTCTCTGGACGCCTGCTCACGTTCCCCAGGCAATGGCGCGGGTCGATGTGATGATTTGACCCTGGAGTCGTCTCAGCCCGAAGGCTGTTCTCCAATCCGTTATCCTTGACGAGAGCCTCAAGATAACGGAGCCTGTTAAGAAGACTTTGTCTTGGATGATCAGCAAAAGGAACGTACAGTAGCCTCAAATGCGCCCGACAATAACTGACCTCTGAGCTGAGGCGGTGTTAGCATCACATTCAGTGCCTGCTTTCATACAATTGCCGCACACAGGGAATTGGCCATCGCATTTTACCTTGCGATTTCTGCATCGTGTGCACGCTCCTGGACGTTTCTTCCTTGTGGCGGCTCTCGGAGTCTCATGCGGCAGGAAGAAATCTGGATCTTGGTCTGAAGGTTGCATGTTCCCCAGGGAAGCGAGGCCATCGAGCAAGCGAGGCACAATCACCGATGCGGACGGAGGACGTCTCAATCGGATAGTCCGTCAAGAAAGCTTCGGTCTCAACAGCAAGTCTAAATTTGTCAACGATAAGAAGGAACGGAGAGACCGAGATGAAGAGAGAAAATTGCCGGTCGGATTGATTCCGCCATCCTTTCGGACCCCGTCCGAGTTGCCCCACATGGCAGTGGATATGGCCATGTCCCACCTCCTCACCCGTTCCCCCTCCTCCCCAGGCCTTCGTCGCATACGTCAACTTTCTTCTACGTACTCATCTTTACTTCGGGATAGAGAGTATTATTGTCTAGAGGCAAGGCGATGTCAGTGTCGTTGTCTAGCATTACTTGGCGAAAGTACGCGATCAATGGCGGTCCCCTAGTAGTCAGACTATATCGGTCTTGCCAACCCATACGTCCTTATATTTCCAGAATCTAATTTAGAGACGCCAGCAACGATGCCACATCATACTGCTTGCCCGAGGAACCGAAAAGATCCATAATTCGCTCCACCGACTTTGTGTAGATCTCTGCACCTTGGACCTTCAAGGTGGTGAGCTCTAGTTTCCCATAACTCTCCGCCACGAAATTCGTATACTCGTCGCGCACGGTGCGATTGACGTTGATCTTGCTCACTCCACACGCGATGGCTTTTAAGAACAACTCATCTGAAACCGGATGCGTGCCATGAAGAGCAATGGGTACGGCATCAGTCACAGCGTGCCGGATAGATTCCAGTCTAAGTCCATTGTGTCAGCTAAAATATTTCACTGGGGTGCCGCTGTCACGTACAAGGCCAAATCCCACGACTTCTCGGCGCCTCCGGGAGGATAACCACCGTGGATATTGCCGAAGCTGGGGGCCAGGAAATGAGCGCCTGCTCTCGATATGAACTCCCTCGCCTTCTGTGGGTCGGTGTAGATAGTGCCTAGGTCCACGTTGGGTAAACCGTCCTCACCACCTTCTATTCGGCCTGTCTCGACCTCTACCGTGATGCCGGCTTTGCAGGCTCGTTGGATGATTTCAGCACACAGTGCTACGTTATCAGCCTCGTCCAGAGTGGACGCGTCGATCATTATCGAGTCAAACGGGAGCGTCAGCGCCAAGTCTATGTCCTCTTGTTTGATGCAGTGATCGAGGTGTACCGCAACAGGCACTGATGCAGCGTGCGCAGCGCGCACCACGTATCTGACGAACTCGGGACCTTGGAAATGCAGAGTCCATGGGAACAATTGAATGATGGCGGGTGATTTTCTCCTCTCTGCGGCGCGGATGACTGCTATAACGCCGTCGTCATTGTAACTGTGGGTCATGGAGCATGGATCAGTCAGGTTTCGAAAATAAAGTCAAGGAGTTGTAGAAGATTTTCCTCACCAATTGTAGGCCCCGACGGCATATTTGCCCTTGGAAGCGGCATGTAGTATCTGATATGTCAAGTTGGAATATGGGAACTCGAGCATTGTGCACTGTAAAAGATGTCTTGTTGGTATCTTGATTCTGCACGCGTGAAGGAGGAATCTAAAAGCGCATGTTGAAACAACAAATAAACATACGCCTTTTGGCTGTACTGTACAGTGTAAAGAGATCCAAATTCGCCCTCGGTCCGATCACCGATGGCCCGGTCGGGGGTGATGTGCGACCTCAGCCGGTGAATCTCTAAGAACATTTCCGGGGAGTGGGGGGGGG